TTTCCCTACGAAACATTGGTTGCTGCTACAAAGAATTTTCACATTCTTAATAAGCTTGGTGAGGGAGGATTTGGACCCGTCTATAAGGTAAAATCAATTATATCAATTGCAATCTTCCCCTTCAATTGATTCAGTTAAATGTTTCTGCAAATGAACTTTACTCGATCTATTATTTTTTAATCGAAGGTTTACATGTTGGAAGGAAAGTTCAACATGGAAAAATTGTCATGAATTTATTATTTTTTTTTCTTTGACATATTCTAAGTATTGATTTTAATTTTGGTGTGTAAAGGGGAAATTGAATGACGGGAGAGAGATTGCAGTGAAGAAGTTGTCGCATAGATCGAATCAAGGGAAGACGCAGTTCCTTAACGAGGCGAGGTTGTTGGCACGTGTGCAACACCGTAATGTGGTGAATTTGTTCGGTTATTGTACCCATGGCTCAGAGAAGCTTCTTGTTTACGAGTATGTCCCACGTGAGAGCCTTGACAAGCTTCTCTTCAGTGAGTCTTTCTTAACAAATAACAAATCCTCGTCTTATCTATTTCCATCAATTTATTAAGCAGTCAAGATTATTGTTTTTCACAAAATAGTTCTCGTTATTCTTAACATGTTATGTTCACTAGTTGTAGAAGCCATTCAATTTAGCATGTGTCAGGAATTTGACATCAGATTCTTGTGATTAGAAAGAGTTTCTGTTGAATTAAGACAGTTTTTTTTTTTACTAACATTAGTCTTTCAAATTTTTTACCATGACCACCCTAAAAGAAGCTATTCAAAATTCTGAAGTTTTTTACAAAAAGAAGTATATGAAGAATGAACTTAAGTAAATGATTTGACCTGTGGATATTTTCATATATTCTTTCTTATAGAACTTGTATAAAAGTCAAGTCCAACCTATGTTCCTGTTAAATGTGGATTCAACTACCACCAGTTGAGCCCATAATTTCTAGCCAAGCTTCAACTAAATTCTCATTGTGTCCCTAACACGTTCTGTTTATTGAGGGGTCTTGTGTGGCTTCCCTGTATTTCATAATATGGATTTTTTCATTACCAAGTGCCATCGCAACCAACCATGTGACCTGTGGGTCCCAAGACATTTATATCTTTTCATCCATTTTCAATGTAGGACAGAATTTAATTAGGCAAAGTATTTTTAACTATAATTAATGTTTCATTTTGTTAATATGTATTACATTTAATATAAATCTTGATAATATATAATATCACATATTATTGATTTACAAAAGAGTACAAATAATATTAATATTATCTTATATATATATATATAACATGTTTAATTTTTCTTTTTTTTTATTAGATATGTTTTCATTCTTGAATTTTTGTCGATTTTTATTTTCAGTCCTTAATTTTTTTTAATATTTTATCCTCAACGTCAAGAATTTTATTCATGAAAAAATTAGAGACTAAAATTAAAATAATGTAATTTTCAGAAGTAAATAATTACGCTTCTACGTCTTAAATGTATTTTTTTTTTTTAAGATTTGACAAACTGCCCATTGTTTTAGATAATGGTATCACAATATGCAAAACATTAATTAGATGACCAGACTCTAGACAGACATATAAAGTCATTGAGCCTATGGAAATTCTTTATTTTTTTTAGGTGAAAGGAAATGAGAAAGAGACGGCACTTAATACATTGACTTTCACATGCACAAAAATGTTGGTTAACTGAATGAATACATGCACATAATAATATGTTCTAGAATGAATAGAAACCCTATTTTTTCTTATCAGTTAAGCACACAAGTTGCAAGTTGCAACCTTGAAACTTCGAAGAAGAATGATAGAAACTCCCACCCCCCAACACCCTTTATGTCTAATTGGTTGTCATGATAATTAATGATAAAGTCTTGGTGAGATTTAGGTAGCTGACCTAACTTGTATAATATAAAAATGAAGATATAGTTATAAATTGAAAGTTGAGAAATAAAATATAATATTGTATTTTGAAGTTGAAGATGTTGAAATGATTGCAGAATCCCAGAAGAGAAAAGAGTTAGATTGGAAACGCAGATACGACATAATAAGCGGGGTGGCAAGGGGTTTGCTATATCTTCACGAAGACAGTCACAACTGCATAATCCACCGAGACATAAAGGCAAGTAACATCTTACTCGACCAAAAATGGCTTCCCAAGATCGCAGATTTCGGCCTCGCTCGCCTCTTCCCAGAAGACCAAACCCATGTCAACACACGTGTGGCTGGAACCAAGTACGCATCCCTTTCTTCCAACCAAACACAACTCTAAATGTCAACATGTCTATAAATTCAACTCTATATAGATATTTATATACCTGCCCTCACATTAAATGCACTTTTTTAAAATTCAAATTTTCAGACTTGTTACATCGCCTTCTGTTGTTCGTATACGTGACCTTGCACTAAAATTCATTTAAATAAAATGCATCTTTGAATGGTCTGCTTGTAGGTGTTGCATTCTTTTCAAGTAATTTTCATTTTGAGTGTGTGATATATTAGAGAGTATAGAATATTAATAATGATGATGATAATAAGTTAGGAAATATGATGTGACATGCAGTGGGTATTTGGCTCCGGAATATTTGATGCATGGACATCTATCCGTGAAGGCAGACGTATTTAGCTATGGGGTTTTAGTGTTGGAGTTGATCACTGGCCACCGAAACTCATCCTTTCATTTGGACGTCAATGCACAAAATCTCCTCGATTGGGTAATAATATTTCTATATTTTTATCATTTTATTATATATATATTTTTAATCATGCTTCACAATTTTGTACATTTTGTTACCAAAATTTTAAAATTACATATTTTGACACTAAACTTTTAAGGTTTCATATATTTTGTTACTTCTTTATTTAACTATTTGACGTCTTGTTAATATGATATGTTGTTCATTGATATATGAGTTGTATATACTTTTAAAACTTTAGTAATAAAAAAAAATAGAAAGGATTTTTATTCATATAATAGGGGAAAATTGAATACAAATTATTAAACTTTTTCTTACATATGTACTGATATTTAAGTGTAAAAATAAGAAAAGACAATATATGTTAAGAAAATATATGGTTTTTTTTTTCTTTTCTTAAAATAGAGCATCCAAGCATGCGACATACACGTGTGAACAGCATAGTGATATTTTATTGTACTTTATAAAAATCAGTAATTTTGTTAATTTTTACAATTAAAAACAATTTATTATAGAAAAGTATATTAATTAGATAAGAATTTATTTATTAATAAGAAAAATAGAAGATAATTAAATGTAGTTAATTTCAACATAATTAGAAAATTTAATTTACAATGTTTAAATTGAACTTCATAATTTTTTTATAAGAGTTAAATTATTAAACTAGCATATAAAAAGTCATTTCAACCCGAAGATCATGTATTATTTCATTAAACATTTTTTATGAAGTTTGCGAACTTATCATGTAAAATTTGTTGTGTAATCAGAATAATAAATACAAAAAGTTAGAAAACATCTAACATAATTTAGGCATCCCCTAACACCAACGTTTTGGTTTGTTAGGAAGAAATTATGAATAATTTATTTGAATTTATTTTATTCTATAAATGTTTAAGAGATTATTTGAATAAATTTATAAAATATTTTATGAATAAAGATGTTTTGAGTTTATTTTAATAAGTTATTTAGTATAACTTTTTACTTTAACTTAATTTATATGAGAAATTTTTTTTTGAAAAATATTCAAGTTTGAATCGAATTACTAATGTAAATAATTTTTTTTTATTTTTTCATTCTTTAACTAAAAACTAATTTTATGTTATTTTCATTATTCCTCTCAAAAGTTTTTGTTTATCTCTCTAAAAAAATTTGTTTCTTTTATTTTTTCTTTTTCTATTTTTTTTTTTCTATTTCTTCCCCCCAAATCCACATTCCTCTATTCTAAAAAAAATAAAATCTAGTAACTTTATTTTTCTCTAAAATGACACATTTAGAATAATTTTATTGTTGATATATTTATATAAAAATAATTTAATCATTATTTTATAAAATATATAGAATTTATTTTAAAATTTTAAAATTTAAGATTTTTAATTTTTAATCATTGTTATATGTAATTGATTTCTCATATTTTATTAATAATTTTATTTTTTTATGAATTAAAATTAGATGAATAGTGACTAGTAATTTTTTATTTTTTAATATTATTATAATGTATAATGTAATTTTTAAAAATTATTTAATTACGCTTAATATTTTTATTTTACTTTCAGTAAAAAATTAATTTATAATTTTTTTAATTTTTAAAATAAGATAACATCTTATAATTATAATGATACATCTAAATATTTTAAAATCATATAAATATTTATTAATATATAAATGTAATAAATTATAAGATTTTAAAGACATATAATATAAATTATAATTATATAAGAAGTACAGTACAAGTATGGTAATTTTGATGTTTAAAGCTGACAGGCATACAGGCTATACAAGAAGGGGAGGGCATTGGAGATGGTGGACCCCACATTGGCCTCTACAGTGGTAAACGAAGAAGCAAAAATGTGCATTCAACTGGGTCTGCTCTGCACTCAAGGCGATCCACAACAGCGTCCTACCATGGGGCGTGTGGTGGTCATGTTGTCAAGGAAACCAGGCCACATGGAAGAACCGGCAAGACCGGGAGTACCCGGTTCCAGGCTTAGAAGACTCTCTCCCAGACCCTTTCCTATGTCTTCCTCTACTATGGGATCTTCGCGAGATGTTGATGACACTTCTGGTTCCACCAACTATGCCTCTTCTGAAACGCCAACCACAAGCTCCAATGACACGCGAGGGAAACGACCCATGCAAGGTTAGATTCAACAATCATGGATACAGTTGGTATTATTCAAGAGAGAATAACCCCAACTACATTATACTATTGGACCTAAGTTTTGTTGTTGAGCAAATCCATCGGTTCCTATTATTATTCTTTTATGATCTAATCATGTAAATAAATATTACTGGCTGACGCTGTCATGTAAATGTTACGAGGAGTAGGGAAATTTTTCAGAGCCACTAGGGTATATATGTGTTTTGTTTTTCTTGTATAAAAAAAAAAAGTTATTCAATAAAGAAATATAAGTGCAGATGAGTAGGAGGTACTGTAGGAGTACCAAAATTTAGGAGTGGAGAAATTCGTGTGAAAATGTTACTTTTTTTCATTGAAGTGGGCAATAGATGTTTGTGAGGGATTTCATGTGGACTCTTTAGACGAATTAGCGAAGATGTTTTTTCAATCTAGGTATGCGCAATTAGATTTTTCGTAAGAACGGACATGAACGTTATACAACAAAATTAACATATGCGGAGGATTTCCAAGAATTTGTTGATAGTTATCACAAAACAAGTCTCATACATGCAAATCCTTAAATGAATTGAGTGAACAACATAGATATCAATAACAGAAATTATGGCGAATCTACTAGTGATTGTTGGATTACAAACATGAAGACACTAGAAAGATATAGAAATTACAAGAAACTACACTACATTATGTTAAAGTACTCCTAAGAAGAAGAAAAAAATAAAAAGGTGTGGCCAAGAAGTCATACCCAGCAATCTCGTACACGGAAGTCATATGCGCAGGCAGTGAGTGTTTATGAGAGTTTCAAGTATGATTTTTCTGACCCCCTAAGTTGAGATCTCCTCGTCCATTTATAGATTTTGATTGAGGGGTGGTTTCATTGTATAAGTCTATTGTGGTCCGCAAAACCATTTTCCCACTACGTGATTTGAGTAACCTCCCTCAACTGCTTTTAACTACAGATAATCGTTCGTCATGTTTTTTGATTCTCGAATAGCTCTTCGAAAATGGTTAATGCTTGTCTACTTCGCTAGCTGCCCTGACACTCTAGTGTAACTTCCTTTTAACCACTCGTAACAGCTAGTGACCACTCTCCATGTTTTTTTTTACTCTCAAGTATGCGTGTTTTGTGGTTCATTCGGGATTTCCATCCCTTCGAGGGGCGTCTTGCATATTGGCCACCTCTCTTCGAGTGATTCTTATATATATTTTTCGAGTACTCCAACAGTATTACATAGTAAAATTAGTAAATATTATTCAACTATTTTAAATCACTACTAGAAAACTGCAAAATAGCGACTGAAATTAGCGATCAAATTTTATCAGTCGCTATTTAGCAACTGATTTAGCAACCGATTATGAAAAATCAAAATAGCGACCGATTTAGTGACCAAAATAAGTTGTCGCTAGAAAATCGGTCTCTATTTCGGTCGCTAAATAAAAATTTTTGATTTTTTAGCGACGGATTTAAATTCGGTCGCTATTTCGGTCGCTAAATTATAAATTTTGATTTTTTTTAGCGACGGAATTAAATTCGGGCTCTATTTCAGTCGCTAAATTATAAATTTTGATTTTTTTAGCGACGGAATTTAATTCGGTCGCTAAATATTAGTTAAAATTAGCGACGAAATTGAATTCGGTCGCGAAATAGTAGTTCAATTTAGCGACAGAATTGAATTGGTCGCTATTTCGATCGCTAAATTATAAATGTTGATTTTTTTAGCGACGATATTTAATTCGGTCGCTAAATAATAGTTAAAAATAGCGACGGAAATAAATTCAATTACTAAAAAGTAGTTAAATTTAGCGACGAAATTAAATTTGGTCGCTATTTCGGTCGCTAAATTATAAATTTTGATTTTGTTTAGCGACAGAATTGAATTCGGTCGCTAAATAGTAGTTACATTTAGCGACGAAATTGTATTCGGTCGCTAAATTATAAATTTTGATTTTTTAGCGACGGAATTTAATTCGGTCGCTAAATCAGAAATTTTGATTTTTTTAGCGACGGAATTAAATTCGGTCGTTAAATATTAGTTAAAATTTGTGACGGAATTGAATTCGGTCTCTAAATCAGAAATTTTGATTTTTTTAGCGACATAATTAAATTCAATCGTTAAATATTAGTTACAATTAGCGATGTAGTTCTATTCGGTTGCTAAATATTAGTTAAAATTAGCAACGGAATTCTATTCGGTAGCTAAATATTAGTTAAAGTTAGCGATGAAATTCTATTTGGTCACTAAGTAAAACTTAAAAAAATTTATAAATTGCTTAAAAGTGATGATAATATTTTTGTTGAGTATCGATCCCATTTTCTTTTTTTTGTAAGAGCAAGACATTAATTTATATTAAAAAATATATTTATATGCACTCCTACATAATTAATACCAATAGTTATTTATGTGAAAAAATATTTAGAGGTTTTTTTTTACGATTGGATTTTTAGGCAGTTTTTTAATTAGAGTATATGAATTTTAAAATTTCTTATTTATTTTGATCCATATTTATAATATATATTTCTAACTTATGATAACTTTATTTTTAAATAAATTTTTATATTTAAATTTTAAATTAGTATTTTATTAATGGTTGATAATTAGAAAATAAAACAAGGATAAATACATTTTTTGAATTTTATATCTTAGATTTAAGATGAATAAATATATTAAGTTAATTAATAATTTATTTAAAATGTTAAAATTTAATTTATAAAAATGATATTTTAAAAGAGAAGGGTTATAATAACAT